AGCGTCCCCAAACCCTGTCCGTTCCCAGGAGCCCATTGGCTGCCGCCCTCCCCTCCCCCGGCCCCTTTGTGGTCCACTCCACTCGCTTTTGTTTCAAACGAATGAGCACACAAAAGAGGGCCCTGCATTCCACAGCGCAGCCCTATTCAAAAGGGGCTGCGTCTTCTCAGTTAATCAGGAGTCCGCCCCCGCCCCCTGCGGCTCCTCTCCTGTGTTCTCAGAATCTTAATGGGGTCCTAGCCTCACTCCAGCTCCCAGGAGAACCTCAGGGGCCAAACTCACACCTGCCCAGGTAAATAAAAACCACCTTAGCCCGAACTGGTTTGGCTCAGTGGATAGAGCATCAGCCTGCGGACTGAAGGGTCCCGGGTTCAATTCCAGTCAAAGACACATGACCGGTTGCAGGCTCGATCCTCAGTAGGGGGTGTGCAGAAGGCAGCCGATCCATGATTCTCTCTCATCATTGATGTTTCTCTCTCTCTCTCCGTCTGCCTTCCTCTCTGAATCATAAAACAAAAACAGAACACTTATCACTAGAGTGTCAGTCATGCAGTGAGATCCTGTCAGAGCATCTTCCTTTGAATTTTAAAGACTTTTTTTCCCCTCAAAAAGAACCTTCTTTGAACCTGCAGAAGCCCCTGGGAGGAGTTGGCTGCACTCAGACGTAGAAATGATTCCATTACTACCTTGCTCATCCGCTAACACCTTCCAGGGCTTTGCAGGCAGCCAGCTGGTGCCTGGGAGAGTGGGTGGCAGCCCTCAGGGAGGAAGGGAGGAAGGGAGGGAGGGAGGGAGGGAATGGGAGCCGAGTCGCCACCTAAATATCCCAACTTTCTAATTTTTAAGGGAAGTCCTGTGCTTTGCTGGTAAGAGTCCCATTTCCTTCTCTGGCCCCTGATTGGCAGAACCCTGGTAAAATCACTTTAGGACCCGTTACTTGACTTTGTAGAGCTAGAAGAACGGACCAGCCTTTCCTGAGGTCGCTGCGAGAGCTGCTTCGCATGGGTTAGGCGGAGGGGAACACTCACACTCCCCCTTGCTCTTACTGGGGTCCAAGTCAGTGAACAACATGTATATGGAGCCTTCTGTAGGCAAAGAGAAAAGATCAGCCTGCTGGTCTACCAGGCCTGAGGTGTGGGCTGGCTTGCAGTCCTTTCCTGGGTTGGGTGGAGCCTCGGCCTGGATTCTGTCTTCCTGCAGCAGACCTTCCTGCTTCTGTGGGATTCTCACAGCTCGCCCAGACCCGGGCTCTGCCGAAATCCCAGTGTCGCCTCCAGGTGACGCGCAGTCCAGTGGCCCCCGGGGGTGTCTGTCCACCGGGGTGGGTCTAGGTGCAGAAGCACAAGGATTGTGTCCACGGACACCCTTCTTTCTGAGCATCTGGGGGGCGTTGGAACCTGAGACCGCAACACCCCCGTGACTTTCTTGGGCCCCACCCAGAGAAAGCTCCCCGCAGAGGAGCCGTGTGGGTTGCTTGGCCGAGAGGGAGTCTGTGCAGAGGTTTCTGATGAAGTTCTGGGGGATCTGGACTCCGTCACGCCTGACAGTCCTCTGCCCCACGCCTCTCCTCGCAGAGCCCGCGTGCAGATTAAAAGGCATGTGGGACCTGAAGGGAGGAGAGCACGTCATTCTGTGATGAGGAGGGAAAACCTCTGCTGCGGAGAGGGAAGAATGTGGCGGAGCCGGATGCCATGGCAGCAGCCGTCCTGAGCTCTCGGACATGGCTTTCCAGACTTCGAGCTGACCCCCAGGTCTTCTGTTTTAACCATGAGTATCTGCATTTTTCTCTTTTATTTTTAATTTTATTTTCTTGCCTGCCCCAAACAACTCCATTTGGTATACTTAATTGGGAATCATTCTAGGCTTGGGCCAGGCGAAGAAGGTCTGTCACTAGCGAGCTGTGTTACCTGGGGCAAGTCACCTAACCTCTCTGGGCCTCACAGTTCCTTGTTCATAGAGTCGAGTCACACTGACCTGATAGAGTTGTCACAAAGACCAATGAGCAGTGTCGACGAAGGAGCATTAGAAAGCATGACGACCAAATGACTTTTATTACAAGTTCCAAGGAATTTTTTATAGTTGTTTTTTTTACTTTCCCCCAGAGGGGCCCTCTCTGTAGTCTAAAGCAGGACCCTTCATCGGCAGGTGCGACTTCTCAGACCTGCCCTCACTCGCTGACCTCCGGCCCCCCTGGTTCAGAGCCGCCCCTTATTGGAAAAGACAAGAGCTGGGCGGGAGCAAGAAAGGGTAGGAATGGGGAGTAGTGGCCGCGGTTGTCTCACTCTAGATGCTGCTCCCCCTCAGTCCCCGAGCTGTGTGCACACATCATCGGGGTCCCCCTTCAGCGGGTGGGTGCTCCCTGCCCCCACTGTGGGCTCCATTCCGGGTTTTTCGCTGAAAGGGGGATTATGAACTCTAACAAGCTTCTCTCCCCAATAAAATCCAGGTGGAGCCCAGGAACCCACACCTGCCAGCCCGGCCCCCTCCGTCTGAGCCCGCTCCCTCCCCCTCTGCCAGCGGAGCGCGTGCCTTTAGTCCTT